TAAAAACATCTCAAAACAACCATTCTATATAAAGGCATCTCAAAACACCATTCTATATAAAGACATCTCAAAACACCATTCTATATAAAGACATCTCAAAACACCATTCTATATAAAAACATCTCAAAACAACATTCTATATAAAGACATCTCAAAACACCATTCTATATAAAGTTTGTACCGAACATTCGAAAACTGTCGTTCTGAGAAATGTTATTTATGTAATTAAATGTAAAGAAGTGATTTCAGCATTTGCAAAATGAATGTATATGTATTTTAGATGTAAAAATAAATACATATTCACAAACGATCTATTGTCATACATTAGTATTTCATTTAAGCACCAGGTGGTAGCAGCTTAGCTAAAATCATGGTCCGAACAAAGTAGTTTTCAACAAATAGGAAACTACTTTTTTTGTGTTTGATGTAAGCAGAAATTCAGATGTTATGCCTTTTGTTCCTCAACTTATGCTGTATCTCTTCAACTGAAACTCTCTTTAGTATGTAACTTAAATACAGATACATAAACCTAACGTTTTCTGCTGTTTCTAACTACTTCCACTCCTGAATGGGGTATAATTACTTCCAAACTTAAAACACTAACTTCCTAGAGAATGTAAAATGGTTACATTTTTGAAAATAATGATAGATAAAAAAACAAGACTTGAAAATGGCAACATAAAAAAGAGAGGAAGAATGGCTATATTAAATTAGAAACGCCTAGTGAAAGCTGCGCGTGGTTCCAATTTTGGCTGTTGAAACTGCTACAGTTCATCATAGTAAGGTATGTGAAAGGCATGCTGATGTTTAGGTTTTATTCCCCGATGATACAATTTGACATAAATCACGGCAGTCGTATTCACTCGTGATGATCTTTTCAATTGTTGTTACGTTTATCTGACACGTTTTATAGGATAATCGCCATATTGCTTTTCTTTCAGAGTCAAGAATTTGTAAAATCTGGGTCACTAAAACACCTGTTAATCAGCTCCTACATTCTATCTTCCTTGGAAGTTAATTAAGTCACATTTCTTTTCCATGTTGCTTGATAACTAACGTGGAATATAGCTTACATGTGTTTAAATAATACGGATCACATGTTTAAAAAGTCAATGGAAAAACAAATTAATCAGTCAGATTAGGATCTGGTGCATTTAGCAACTGGTTAAGAACATCATAGAACGTGTATTTCTACGTTCTATCCAAAACAAACTCAGCGACGGTTAACACAATTCACGAAAAGCCATAGATATCCTTCATGTAATTTTACATGTAATTACCACTTCACTCGTTACAAACGTAACTAATAGTTGTGGTGTCGGTAAGTACATAAAGTCCCCAGTGGCACAGCGGTATGTCTGCGGACTTATAACGCTAAGATCCGGGTTTCGATACCCGTGGTGGGTAGAGCACAGATAGCCCATTGTGTAGATTTGTGTTTAATTACAAACAAACAAAGTACATAAAGGCAAGATGGGCCTTATTCAATGTAATAACAAATTTTACGCTAGTTTTTGACTTTAGATTATATTTCAAAAAGTATAATATTTATAAACACAAAAAAAAAAGATTAATATAAGCTCCGTCATAACACTTATCTTCATGAGCATATTTACGACAAAATTATTTTATCTGCCTAAATGTTACGAATATTTCAAAATAGATTTTGTTTCTCATAAAACTGCTCACAAATATAAAAAGCATGGAAATCAATTCAGCACTGTCTGCACTTGGAACAACCTCACAGCACGACGAAGCCCGTTGTTTTAGCAATTAAGTCGTGAATGCGTTGTCTAGTATGCCTCAGGTGTTGGCCCACCTGCCACTGCTCCAGCTTTTTTCGGTTATCGTTAGCATATTACATCCAATGGCTGCTCATCGTGACGTCACTTTGTGTCTGGAACGGTTACGTCCTGTTAATCGGCTGGTGTGTGTGCGGGCAAACAGAAGGAGAACAAAGCGATAATAGAAACGCTGCCCCTAGACTGTGTGAAGAACGATACAATCAGAACATTATCAATATTCGTTGTAAAGTACTTTAGACCGTGCATAGGATAAGATGGTGAAAGAACTCTACGAACTTTTATTTAACACCACTGTGGTCAGAGCAGTTTGTTGACGCTTAATAGTTAATGTTGGTCTGTGTTCACCATGCCTCCCTTAGCGCGTGACCAAGGTACCAGTTTGCTGTCAGATCACGATAGTGCAGGAGACTGCATGAGCCAGGTAAAATGTGTTTTGATCGGAGATGGAGCGGTAGGGAAGACAAGTCTTGTTGTGAGCTACACTTTAAATAGCTATACTTCAGAATACGTACCTACGGCTTTCGATAACTATTCTGGTTAGTATTCAACTAATTTTGTCATGTTTGAACTGTTTGTTTATAAAAAAAAAATTGAGAAATAACCTCTCTTTCCCCCCAAAAAAACAATCGGACTAATTAAAACGTTAATTTAAGTAATGTTACTCTAATTTCACTTGAAAGATAAGATGATATGGTAGCACTGATTTTTCTAGGGCAGTGCTCGATTTTACAGCAGTGTTTCTGAGGTGAAGCCGTTCTTTATTTGGTAAAAGTAAAAAGCGAAGCACTCTGTGTGAAACACGTTTCGTTACCTATTATAACATTATTCTAACTGAAACGAAATCCCTCTAATTTCACCATTATCCCTTATTGGCTTATTTACGTGGTTCTAATAAAGGAGAGAGCCCTAACTCTCCATGCTAATTTTTTTTTTACCTGTATCATGTGTAGATAGATTAGATAGGCAATACAAAATATGGGAGGAAAAATATATTTAAATTTTATAAGAGATATATTTTTAATTTCTCAGTTTATAACGACGTAAATTCAAATCAAAAATGGCAGAGGAAGTATAACCCCCAACCCCCGTTAAACATAATGCGACTTCTTGCCGAAATGTGTGTAAATGAAGAGATGGCAATGATATGGTTAATGGCCTAAGGGCTTTTTCGCAGCGAATATAATTATGAACGCTGTAATGAGCCTTGTTAGTTGACTCAAAAAGGAGGGAAATCTGAGGGCGCACTAACAGTTTTCACTGCTCCAGACCAAGAAATAAAAAATTAACATGGAGAATTGAAGCCTCCTCCTTCAACATAACCATGTATGGTTTTCTCCCCCAGTATTTGTTTCACAACTTATTGGAGTAAATTACGAAATTTTATTAAGGGCTAGTAGCTCAGCATGACATTCAATGCGGCCATGTTTTGTTTTGTTTTGATCTTTTCTCTCCGTTGTTCTCACTTACTACATATTTGGTCACGTTAATTTTTAATGTTTTTAATTCATTATCTTGTTCTTCTCTGACGAACTGGTTATCTCTAATGAAAGAAAACGTTACTTTTATTACTGTTAGATCTCCATTTGTTTCGTCCTTTGAAAGTGTTTTAGTACTAAGAGTGATGAGTAGATGCAAGCAATATTAGTGTTCCTTATAGCAATATTATATGTCCCCCGATGGGATGGCGATAAGTTTACGAACTTACAACGCTAAAATCTGAGTTCGATCCCTGCGGTGGACACAGCCGATAGCCCGATGTGGCTTTACTCTAAAACAAATAAGACACATATTGGTCCTAAAGTGGTACAGCGGTAAGTTTAACGATTTACAATGCTAAGATCAGGGGCTCGATTCCCCCTCAGTGAACACAGCAGATAGACCGATTTGGCTTTGCTATAACAATCACACACACGATATTATATAATTATTGTGAGATCGTACAATACCAGGGCACTTTACTAAGCTTTTAAAACGTTCACAGAAGCAAGATCAAGATGTCTCATGTTCATCCATAAAGGGTGATATGTAACTCATTACCAGTCATTCATTGTCCAAATTCTATTTTAGCTGTGCTCTTAGCATCTAAGAAAAACAGTTTTTGTAATGTTCTCGCATGATATGGTTGGAGATAGTTGGATCTTCACGTCCCTTGAAAGAATGGGTGCATTAAGACACAACCTGATATCTGTTACATTTTAAACAACCAATTGTCTTTTTCCGTGGTCCGTTACCAGTGGTTAGGAACCATATATTTTCATAGTGACATATTTAACGTTTTTGATTGCCACTGCTAATACTCTGATAACAGATATCAAAAACAGTATTTAATAGAAATATTTTACTATACAGGCAGCCTCTATCATGACCCTTTGAAAGTCAGATAAATTTTTGCTCTTACTTATTTTAATATGGGCTTTCCATAATATCAATGCATCTCATAATTTACAATGCTCAAATAATCACCTGACTCATTACATGATCGTACTGTTTTGCATATGCTAATAAATGGAGCATGCTATAAATGTGGGGGGCTTAAAAAAGTGGAGTAGTAGTGTAGAATTTCGTTACAATTGTTCTTGACAAGTATTATAATAAAGTTTTCTTGTTTCAGCTGTAGTCACTGTAGACAATCTACCAGTTCGTCTCCAACTCTGTGATACTGCTGGACAAGTAAGTCAATCCTCCGTTTATCTTGAATAGATTCTAATTTTCTGTCTAATAATAAACATATATAGTGACCTTATCGTGATAAGGAAGAAAAATACAAAGGTTTTTGTACAAACTTTGAAAGTAATATGAACAACTTGAGCTATTTCCTTGTGTTGTTTTCTTTTCGCTTTTACAAAGTTAACAGCAAATGAGAAATTTCTCGATATTTATTAACAAACGCGTGTAATATAAAGTATCACTCACGGCCAACTAACTCGTTAGATATCTTAACTTTTGTCTCCTAAACGACCAATAAAAAAAATCGCACTCTTCAGTCAGACAAGGCAGCTGAATAGTTGAAGGTTGGTGCTGTTGCCTTCTGCTCTAGTCCTTTTCAAGGCTGGAGGAGTGTCACATATATATTCAGTGTTTTTTTTTCTCCTACTCGTAGTGAAAACACTTAACAAAACTCAGCATAAGTTTTTCGAAACGGTATCTAGTTCCTATTTTTAAAAATTCGTATAAATTAGTTTGATATCATTTTTAGGTTGTGAAATTTTAGAATTTTTTGTAGACACTGTTCTGAAAACAAAAACATTCGAAACACATGATTGTTTGATACTTATTAACATGTTACTTTAGATATTTTACTTTTGAATGAATCACACTACCAGTTATAAATTATAAAAACACGTCAAAAATTGACGATCAAAAAGTATGAGTAGCCTAGGTCCTCACCTTTTAAAATGGTGTCACCGTTACCTTTGTCACGCGAGCTATCGTGATTTTTTTCAATAAATAATTTTATTACTTTTGTGTTGTTTTAATACGACAAATGTAACAATAATATTCGATAAAAAAATATTTGATTTCATCCAAGTAGTTTGCCGTCTCTTACACTACAGTAACCTTTAAACCTAACAAAACTTACATGATATATTGTCATGAAATAAAATTTCCATAGTTTTCAAACAGATATACTTTAACATGAATTTTTTTTAGAATTGAAAAGAACATCAAAAGAAACTAAAAAAAATAAAAAATTTCCAGACCTGTAATCTGTTTAAAATTTCTAAGTGTTGTAAACTTCGCATTATAATCTCTTGTTCATCTCTACAGGAGCTCCACATATTCAGTAAATCGATAAACCACAAACTATTACTAAAAACACTTTTCTTGCTCTATTGACATAGATAGATTACGATCTGTTACCCATTCGCATTTAGCCATTGATTCTAGCTGTTTTCAAAGCTGAGCTTCATTAGTAATTCTTCAGACCACACTTGTGACGTCCTAAAAGGTGAAAACGAAGGATTATAGTAATAATACCACTGACTGAGAAAGGAAACCACGTGACAAGATACGAATCATTTCAAGAGATGATAGTTTCTTAGTAAATGCAAGCCTATACTTTGGGATGGGTAAAAAACATAAAATAAATCGATAAATGTGTTATTTCCAGGTGAGACTCCTCGGAGCTGCGCAGAAATGAAAGCTGGGATTTTTTTTTTCGTCTTTTTTTTTTGCGAATTTCACTTAATAAGTATTATATAGTTGTAAAATATCATTCATCAATTATTTTTGAGTAAAGTAATTGTTTAAATAGAATTATCTATTTAATTAAAAGGGTACCGTGTGCTGGTAAGCCTTTTAAACTTCATTAAACTATGCAAATAATGAAATTAGGATAAGGGGAATATGGATGATGTCACGATAGGCTTAACGAACAGGTAGGCCTATATAGTGCTAACCATTGCAAAGGGAAGGGTATTTAGGGAATCGATCTGTCATTGGACAGCATTGTTTATGTGTCAAGGTTTTATTTATAGACACTTAGAGTACTGGTGACGTCACTCTGTTACCTTTTATTACTTGCTCCTGATACCCAGGTTTTGAAAGTGTCGTTAGATCCGATGTCTCTTATTGATAAATCTATTGGTCTATCATTTTTGATCAGACCTTTCGGCGCAAAGTGTCTTATGTACCAGGAGGTATTTATGGGTATCACGTGTTGTGAAATAGGTTTAACCCACTTAGATTTAAAGCCACAATCATTGAGACGGCCCTCACGGCCATCCAGTTTGTTCAGAACTCTATATATATAATCTCATACGTGAGTAGTCTGGGCGTGTCACTTAACTGTTTTAATTACACAGCACTGCCGTTACATTTTATAGGCTTTATACATTCAAATACAAAATACCACAAACAAATAAAAATATTTCGTAAGCAAAGCACGATTTTTTCTCTTGTATTTATTTTTTTTTCTTATATTTTAATATTTGACAAGTAGGGATGAACTGAAAACCAGAAAGGTACTCGTTGTTCGTAATAGGGCTAGTCTATCAGTTCAAAATTAGGGTAAACTATATAGCCGTTCTGCATCTTTGCCTAAAATTCTGAGACACACAAAGAAAATAAACAACATTTGTCATATTTAAAGTAATTTAAACTAACAACGTGACTTTCTTAAGGAAATGTATAGCTATTCAGGAAATTATAATATACATATTCTCTTGTAGCTAAGATACAACAGTATATCGTTACATCAATCTTTGAATATTGTTCAAGTCAGATATACGAGACAAAAGAAATCTACTGAGGTAATCATTTCTTATCACAAAACCGAGACTGCAGTAAGTTATCTAACCGTTTATAAATACTAAAACGTTCAAATATGAAATATTATTTTGATTTTATGTCAAATATTGTTAAGAATTGAGTCTGGTGCCATTTTGGTGAATATACAGTGTTTTGTTGCACCGTATGAAGGAAGACATACATTGTTATCGCAATTAAATTCCGTCTAATAACACATTTAAGCTTAACGGTATAACATCTTTGCTGTCCAGTAAGGTTAGTCAACTTATAATCGTTTGTGCGAAGATATATGGAGTAATTATGTTTATTAGGCTTAGAAATATTGATTTGAAATTATAGATAATAACTGTAACTGTATGGCCTAAAACTGAACAAGACAAGCAGGTTTTGATACATTACGAAAGACGTTAAAATGTATTCTAAAATCAGTACATATTTAAATTATGAGCCCCCCCCCCCCAATGGCAAAGCAGTAAGTCTGCGGACTTATACTGCTAGAAACCGGGTTTCGATACTCGTTGTGTTTAAAAACATAACGTGTAAAATTGTGAATGTATCGTTTCTCCTACATCGTGTGTAATAAAACGATCACTGGAATTGATATCTGTAACACTTTTTCCACAACTATTCACAACAATCGGTGAAAGAAATAATTAAATAATGCGTAGAAAAACATTTATGACAGTTTACACTACTTTTATTTCAAAAGTGCAATGGACCAGTAGCTCACAAGGGATTCGTGTGATGTCGAAAGATATCTTTATTTTATACTTGAAGAAAGAAAGACGAATATTTCCGAAAGTGCTGGTCACCATAATTGTCTTTGTTTGTGTGTATGTGTGTGAAATCATAGTTTGTTACCCTTTTTATAATCTGAAAACGCAAGTTGTTTTATTAAAATATCGCAAACTTAGATATAATTTCTTCAAGCTTGCTAGAATCTTTTATTTATTTTATACATTGTTATTTGGACTGTATTGACTACAAAATCCTTGACAGTTTATTTCTATAATCAAGAAAACTGCACAAGAATTTTAGTCCTGGCAATGTTAGGGTTAGGAACAAAGTGATTCTTATTTGGTCAGACGTGCATCATTCTTACTTGTTAGAAATATATTTTACAAGCAAATTCTATACTTCAACGTGTTTTAATCCCACAAATAACTTCTTCACAAAATGCATCTAGTCAGCAGTGCCCATTAATCAGAGAATCTACCACTGCTGTGCATGCACATTCCTAGACTTTTTTATGTGTTTAGTATCTTTGAAGACAGCCGTATTGCTACCATTTTGTTGCCGCATTTTTTTCATGTTTTGACGTCACGTTTTGCAATAAATATTTTTGTGATAAAAAAGTCACGTTATGTTCGGATGTTTTTTTCCCCCTATTCCTCTAGATCTGAAATATTACTCTTACACGCGATGGACAACTTACGAATAAAATGAATTACTGTTTATTATTAAGAACAAAGCTACACAAAGGTCTATCTGTGCTGTGTCCTCCACGGGTATAAAAACCCGGTTTTTAGCTGTATAAGTCAGCCGACATACCTCTGTGGCACTGGTGGGCGAGGAGAATGAGGAAAAAACACCGACAATTATCACAATTTTTAAGCCTGTTGATTTCTAATGCTTCGAAAGCATTCAGCGTTAAAACCGAAACTTTTAAAGTATTATAGTGTATATGTAAATAGCGTTTCAGAGAATATTTTTTCTCTCTCATCGTCCAGCCCAACTGACGAGTCCTGGAATTATACGAAAGGTCTCTTGGGCAGTGAATTGTGGGAGACATAAGATAGATCTGAAATGCTATTTTTACAAACCTCTTATTTTGATTACGCAACGGAAGAATTAAAAGGAATGTGGATGAAAACATATGGAGTTAAATTGATTTTATATCACATTTTAGGTCTATTGGTTTCTAATGCTTCACCATTTTTGATGTTTAAACTGTAAATTTCAAAATATTTTCCAATCGTTTTCCAGTTTCGTTTCATTATTAGTTTTCAAAACTTACATTCAGGTAGCCAAAGTAGTAATATAATAAGATTCAGTGTGTGTGTGTGTCACGTAACTTTTAAACCACTGGTCGCACCGACTTCTAAACGTTACCAAACGAATCGTCTCGGTCTCGAGGTTTGCACAAATGCTATTTTTTTTTATCCTACCCCTTGATTTATATCAGAGAATGTAAATACGTAGGCCTACTAGTTACTGTTCGTAGCTTGGTTTAAAGAAATTAAATTTGCATTATTGCGGCCCTATAAATGTGAGCCATAGGCCCACGGGTTCGCTAGTCAATGTTGTACTTTGTGGAATTTTTCTATTGAATTGTAAAAAAAAATATCTGTGAAACATTTCATTAATAAGCACAGAAAACATAAAAAAGGTTTACACTATTGTATTCCTCTTCGTAGTGA